TAATCCTTTATCTTGCTAAAAATAATTACAACCTCTTTCAGGCAGAAAATGTTCCCTGTTTTCAGAAATCACATCCTAAAACCTTAAATTTAAAGACGAAACAAAAAAAAAGGGATTCTCATTTTAGGTGTATGTATTTTCTATTTCACTTTGCTGCCCACTCTTCCTCGGTCTCCATATTTCTTTCTTCCCCCACTATTCTTTTTATTTTATATCTCTAGATCTTTCCCTTAACTCTTCTACAATAAAAAGCTGTCATACATTTGTATTGTACTTACTGGTATACTTATTAAAGAGTTGTGTTTCTTATTCTTAATTTTAAAAGTAGACAAATAAAATGATTTATATACTCTTTCCAAAATATAGTAAAAACTTCTAAATTAAAAAAAGTCTTATCCATGACTGCACCATGAACCCTTTCCCAGAATGTTTTAAATGTGTAAGTTAAAATTTAAAACACAAATGATTAGAAAGGAATCCAATTATAATGAAATACAGTTCAATATCATTTAAAACCAATTATAATTAAAAACTCAGTAACTGGTAGTACATGGAGTAAACCCCAATTAAGAATTCTAACTCTTGAAACTTCAAAATAATAATAATGATGTTGAATAACTAATACTTTAACAACACTAATTGTTGTATGACAACAACCCTACAAGGCAGGTACTATTGTCATCACAATATATACATGAGAAGAGAGGCTCAGAGAAACTGAGTAAGGTGCCCAAAGTACACAGCCACTAAGTGGCAGAGCTGACTTTTGAACCTTTCTCCAAGGCCCAGGTTCTGAACCATTCATCCCTTCTCATTGCCATTGGTACCACTCATGATTCAGGACTTTTCATAACTCATTCCAAGTCACTGAAACAGCTTCCTAACTCTGAGCCTTTTCTCCCATTCCAACCTTCATTGACACTCCACCTTCCACATGGCTGAGTCTAAGATCTAGAATCAGAAATCCAGGACCCAGTTAGCCACCCCTCACTTCAACCAAAGAACCACAAAAAATGTATGCTGCTGTGACACCAGCTCTTCTCCTACTGCCCCCAGCCCTCATTACTGCAGACACTGCCTCCTGTCTACTATTGCCCCTACTTAACTTCTACTCATCATTTCAGGCATAGCTATGTAATATTAATACAGTCTTAGTGAAGCCTTCCATCTCCAGTCAAAAGTGATCATTTCTCCCTCTGCATTCTCACAGTTCTGCAATTATAATAAAATATTTATTAAACATGTTCATAGAAGATAATTATTTGGACCATGGATTTTTTTTTTTTTTCAGTTTCTCAGAATTTCATATTCATCTCACCTATGTTGGACTCACCACCTGGAATATTCTTTTCACTCCTTGGCCCCTAATGAACTCCTGCTTTTCCTTTAAGTCTTGGTTCTGAGGACGCTTCCCCTAGAAAGCCTTACTTCACTGTCTCTCTCCCCACCTCACCCCCCAAGTCTGGACTAGCCCTGTGCTGTATTCATTCCCATCATGGTTACCACCTCATCACAAACTACAAATTGCCAACTAGCTGTTACTTGCCTGTCTCTTCTCTCCCCTCTAGACACTAAATCACATCAGAGACTATGTTTATGTTGTTCATGGTTGTATCCCAACCCTTAGCATAGTGCCTAGCATGTAACTGGAACATGTTTAAATGAATTTACAATTAAATTTTCTTATTATCCTATCTGATTAATCCAGAAACAAATTTCAAAGTACAGGACTTTAGCAAATAGCAAATATTAATTAAATAATTGCTGGATGAAGAAATTCTTGCGGCAAATATCCTAAATGAATTATTTCAAGTCTTCAATAAATATAGATTGTGATGAAAACTAGTACAAATATGAATATTTGATCATGTCTATTATCAGAGTAAACAAAAGTAAACATTTCAAATTCATTTTAATACATGTGTTAAAACTGAATAAGTGAATCAAACCTAGGAGGTCAGCTCATTAACTTGAGTTATTGTGAACCAATTTGATTTATGATCGCCATTTGCAGCTACCTGCATTCCTCAATTATTATCTGTCTGTACTATAAAGCTCTAAACTCCAAATTACCCAGGCTCTTTATCATCTGGGTCCATTCTCTGTACCGTTTCAATGTACCAGTCGCTGTTCAGAGTCAAACCCATTGCCACCATTTGAAAACGTCCACTCTCCAACCATCAGGCTTTCTCTTCTTTCTTCAGTCTCTAAAATTGCCTGTCTATTCATCCTTTAAAACAATAATCATAGTTCACTTCTTCCACAATGGCCCTCTTCATTCAGAAGAGCTAGCTCAGGCTTAGCTTCAATTCACTCATCCATTCATCCATGAGCTCATTAATTCACAAGCACTTATGCATTCTTCGCAAGCACCTGCTTCATGGCAAACCCTGTACACAGAGCAGATTCCAAATGTTTGGGAGCTAAAAGGACTCATGTAACTACAAATACTCCCATCTCCCAAACACTCCAAGCACCAGCACCACAGAAATTTATGTTCAGAGCTATATGAATTTCAGAGAGGTGTGCCTATCTGACAAAGGCTTCATAAACCTCTTAGGGTCACTCATAATTACTAATAAGAAGACACCAAAAACAAGGTTTAAAAAATAAAAGGAAAAACTCAGAAAAATATTTGCATTACATGGGAATGAAAGGACTATTTAGCTCTTTTAAGAACACAAGAAAAAGAAAAACAGTCCAGTTGTTAAAGATACAAAGGATATATAAACAGGCAATTCACAGACTACAAATGACCCTAACAAATGTATAAACAGTCTTCATTGTATTAAGGAAATGAAAATTAAAATAATAAAGTGATATTCTTGTTTATCTGTTTAACACAAATGAGAAAAAGCTCTCATCTCCAAGGTTGGGCAAGGGCACACCTTGTTGTGAAAGTATTAATGATAAAAGCTATTTTTTTTTTCCTGAGGCACAACCTAGCAATACAAGTAAAAATAAACAATATACATATACTTTGACCCAGAAATTTTACTTCTGTGAATATTATCCTGGGAAAACAAAAGATTTTTGTACACATACAGATGTATGTATAAGAATTTCATTGCAGAATTATAGCTTAAAAAAGGTAAAAATACAAATCTACTGTAAGACTATATTAAATGTATCTAATCACTGGGATACTATATAGCAGTTAAAGGAGACAAGGGAGAATTGTATGTGCTAATATGTAACAGTTGTTCACTGTTAGAAAAACTAAAAACATTCTCTAGAATAGTATCATTTTATTAAAACCATTTCATATTAGAGTCAACCCAGGGACACTATTACATGGATAACAGGTAATCTAGTCTAGATTGTTTATATATATATATATATATATATATATTTTTTTTTTTTTTTTTTTTTTTTTTTTTGAGTTGGAGTCTCACTCTGTCACCCAGACTGGAGTGCAGTGGCACGCTCCTGGCCACCGCAGCCTCAACCTGCTGGGCTCCGGCAATCCTTCCGTCTCAGCCTTTCAAGTAGCTGGAACTACAGGCGCGCACTACCACGCCCGGCTAATTTTTGATTTATTGTAGAGATGAGATCTCGCCAAGTTGCCCAGGCGGGTCTCGAACCCGCGGGTTCAGGCAATCCACTCACCTCAGCCTCCCAAAGCGCGCCCAAAACGTGGGATTACAGGCTGAGCCACAGAGCCCAGCTAGTTGTTTATATATTATTTCCAAATGTGTCAAGATTATGTAGCTGAGACTATCCGGACCAGACCATCCTATTGGGCCCCTCCAGCTCTAAAATTCTTTGATCCTAAGAATTTTGTACATCAGCCGGGTTTGGTGGCTCAGCCTGTAATCCCGCACCTTTGGGAGGCTGAGGTGAGTGGATTGCCTGAGCCCGCGGGTTCGAGACCCGCCTGGGCAGGCGATACCTCATCTCTACAATAAATCAAAAAATTAGCCGGGTGTGGTAGCATGCGCCTGTAGTTCCAGCTAGTTGGAAGACTGAGGCAGAAGGATCACTGGAGCCCAGCAGGTCGAGGTTGCTGTGGCTGGGAGCAGCCACTGCACTCCAGTCTGGGTGACAGAGTGAGACTCCAACTCAAAAAAAAAAAAAGAATTTTGTACATCATAGATCTTACACACAGAGTGCAAGGCCCCAGTGTGTCTCCCCCACATGTCTAAGTGCCTTTTCACTATCAAAAAGCAATATAAAATGCTTTTTAAAATCCAGAATTTTACATGTGTTGCAAAATTTAAATTTTTAACACTACACCTCTGATTATCAATGACAATTCATGCTGAATGTGTTCATTTTATGGAAATTTGCAATGATAATTGCTATACAAATTATAACTATCTCTTACCTCAATAATAATATAAGGACCACTATATTTTGAAAAAAAATAAGAAAGATAACAGAACCCTTTGAACATTTAAAGAGATGAAAACTGTAAACTGTGCTGTTTATATGTAATTCAAAAATGTTGAGTGTAAATCAAATCCTCTTAGAGGGCAATTTGAAACAGCAGTGAAGCCCCTTGGCAGCAGGCAGGACTGAGAACTGGTGTTAAAAGACCTGGGTATATTTGACGTAAATGTTCCAAAGTTGGGGGGAAGCGGGGAAGAACTAGTGATAAAGATCACTCTTTTGGCTCCAGAATCTCAAGCAAATTAAATAACTTATCTGAGCCTCAACTGTCTCCTTTGCAAAACGAAAATAAGAATAATAAAGGAATTATATATAATGCCTGTAAAATGTACCTAATAGAGTGCCTGGGACAAAAGAGGTTCTTGAACACTTGCCTAATAGAAACAGCTGCATCATTGTTGCTTGTGTTCAGGTTGTCAATCATTCAACTTATCTGTTTTGTTCATATGAATTCTTGTAACATTGCATGCACAAGCACCCTATTTTATTTTTAGACTGCATATAAGAAAGGAGCTCCTTGCCCCCAAAAGTCTATTTGTTAACACAGTCTTTTCCACCATAAATATGCAAAAATTTATCTCAGAAACTCAGGGAGAAAGCATACTTACAAAGCACACCCCCAAATCTCTGTGTGGCGCTCCTCTGGGCTCCGTGCTCTCCTTGGGCACGTGTGTCTGCCTCTTATCATCTCTTCATGAGGTTCAGGGCAAAAGGCCTGTCAAGCAGATAACCTTTGGTAGCCCCTACACACCTTGCCCAAATCACCTACAGATAAATGAAACAAGGGGGTAAGACATACCTACAAATTTAAACTTTTTTTTAAATCATAAAATATGAAAATTAGCTCACTCTTCTTAGGTACAGATTACGCCACAACACGAAACAGACAAAATGCTTCCAGGGTAATCCAAAAGCCCAAGTGACCTCACTGAAATTCTTCACATCCAAGTGCCCAGCATATTCCTCATGGGTGACTTCTACCCAATGCCTGGTCACTCCTCGACTTGCTAAGTCACGCTTCAGTGTGAATTACAGCCCAAGTCTGGTCAAAAATACTATGCCTAAGCAAGTCTACCCATGGGTAAACTAAGTCAGGGAATGAAATAAATATGCTACTTCTGAATGTAGTGACCCAACTGTATTTCTAAACCAGTCTAATGCTCATAAAGGAAATATTTTATAAGCTGCCCAGTTCTTCTCAACTTAGTTCTGCAATTTTACGAATAAAAGTAAAATGTCTCTGGGTGTAGGAAAGAACTGTGGACAGAAATATATTCAACTATTTGTGACTGCTTTCAAAGCAATCTGTAAGGATCTACAGAAAGTCATCTCCAGGACACTGGTGGTAGTTGTCCACATAAAAGGTAGATCTAGAAATACATCTGTGAACATGTGAACTATGTGAACCATTTCAAGAAAAAAATGGCATTTGGGACAAGTTAAGCAAAATAAACTGTTGTGGCTGGGTGCAGTGGCTCATGCCTGTAATCCCAGCACCTTGGGAGGAGGAGGGGAGAGGACTGCTTGAGCCCAAGAGTTCAACAGCAGCCTGGGCAACATAGTGAGACTGTCTACTAAAAAAAAAAAAAAAACAACGAGTGGCCTTTGCCTTAGGTGTCCTTTGCCTAATTAACCCCATGTAATTAATTAATTATTATAAACTAACTGTCAAGAAACAGTCCAAAGTGATCAGATGATGCAATGGCAGAGAAGACATGCTGAGAGAACGCAGCTTTGGTGCACACCTAACACTTCTTACAAAAGAACAACAGGCACAACCAAATTTCTCTATGCCAATATGAAATTGCCAGAGTTTTAATCTTCCCTCTGTGTTGTCCAATACAGTCATCACTAGATGCAGGTGGCCACTGAACTCCAGCTCTTGTCACATCAAACCGACATGTACTATAAGTGTAAAATACACACACTAGATTTTGAAGTACTATTTCTTAAAAAACAGAATGTAAAATATCTGAAGTTTTATATTTACTCCACGTTGAAAACATTTGTATACAGTGTGCTAAATAAATGATTTAAATTAATTCACTAGCTTCTTTTTTACTTTTTTAATGTGGATACTACAAAATTTTAAATCACCTGTGGGACTCACACTGTACTTCTATTAGGCAACACTAATAAAAATAAACAAATGCCGAGCACTTGCAGGTGCCAGGCCCTGGGCTAGACACTTTAAGTAGTACTTAGGTTAACGCTGCCAAGTGTAACGGTCAGGTCTTCCCTGGCTCCACCAAAACAATAAAGGATGCATCTGGGATTCAATGTCAGGTATTTTTACCAAAGAACTCAATGAAAGCACTGCTGACAGCTAAAGCTGGGACAACTTTCATGAGAGCAGAGGAAAGAAAGGACCTTCCCGAGGGTGGCAAACTTTCTGTGACTGCAGAACGGGTAGAAAAACATAATTATTTCCACAGCAGGACAGGCCACCGAGCGTCAGGCCTGAGTCCACTCTCCTAGACAGCTCAAGCTTGCAGATGCCAGGACAAGGCAAGTTGCCTCCAAAGCAAGACAACGCAGGCCAGACTCACCGGACAATCTTGCCAGGATCTGAATGTGACACCCCAGCCGGGGGGGGGGGGGGGGGGCAGGCCTCGGGAAGCAGCGCGACACCCTCTCACCTCGACAAACCCGGCACGCATCCACGCCCGGCACAGCTCTGCTGTCCCCACCCCTGGGACGAGGGGAAGTGGGACCGAAAACGCCCACAGTTAAGACAGACAGGGAAGTGGGAGAGAAAGGGCAAGGGGACGCTGGGGCCAAGTACCTGAGACAGAGGACGACCCCGGGTCCTTAACGCCGGATCATCGCCGAGGCCCCACCCGGCTCCCGCGGCTACCAGTGACCCAGAAGCTGCAACTGACCAAATGCTGCGGCGCAACCGACTCAGCTCTCCTCAGACTCGCAGCTATGGCAACTTGAACTAGCCGCCCAGCGGCAGCGAGAATACAGGGCCCCGCTGCCGCCGCTTGGCCCTCTGGGAGTTGTAGTCTACTGCTCTTCAAGGGCAAGGAACTACTAAGAGAGAGCGGCCCGAAAGAAACTACACATCCCAGGATGCCACACGACCAGCTTTCGGGTAACTTTCCCGGAAGAAACAGGATTAGCAGTCATTGGAGTTCCTTGGCCTCTCCCTCTTGCTATGCTCTTTTTTTGTTAAAGGGCCAGATGCCTCTTGTAGGAGGCAAACTCCTGATAGAAATTGATTTGAATGCTGCCTTGGCCCTGACTGTCATTGGGGAACAGGGAAGTCTAGCAGTGAAATTCCCTTAATGCCAGGGTCCAGTTCCAAAGGCTCACAAATTCTTAGAACTGGAAGGGAACAGTGTAGATTATCTAGTCAAACCTTTGAGGCCTGGAAAGGGTAAGTGACTCACCAAAGATCATAAAGCTCATTCATGGCAAACTGAAAGCAGAATGTGAAATTGTCACATTCTACATACTATTCTAGCACATTGCTGCTGCTACTTCAGTCTACGTTGTCATACCCTCACTCGTTCTAGAACATGAAGGAAATATTTTCCACTCACGGGAGTTCGTTTCAGACATGAAGAGGTAATGAAAACCTCAGTAAAGAACTGGACTTTGGAATAGCTAAAAAAATAAAAATTAAACTGGTCATGTGAATGGTCCTTTTCTTTTACGCTGCCAAAAAGACCACTGATGCTTTTCTTCTTGAAGCTAAAATCACATTTTTACCTTATCTATGAAGGCTTTCTTGGCTACCTCAAGAAGAGCTAACTCATGTTAAATGACAAGCATTCCCTAGTCTAATAATTCTGTACTGTATAATCAATTTCCCAGTTGATCCCCTCTATTTACCCTTCAAAGGAACCTAAACTTTTCAATCTTTATCTCTCTTCTCACTCTTTTCTCCCTTCCTCTCCTCTCTCACACACACACACACAGAGTCATAAATAATTAGCACACAAACTTTGTATAGTCAAATTATTCAAATATTTTTCCTAGCCAACACTGAAGGATAAAGACTATTTCATACCCAGTTGAATACAAAATAATCCCTCTAATTATCTCCTAGGTATTTGCATCTAACTTCAAGCTGCTTGCTCAAAATTATTACTCAAGAATATTCTCTATCTAACACAGAGACTAAGATAATTCATAACAATTATATTCATTCGTGTAATTCAGCAAATATATGCTGGATCTTTTTAGGACCCAGACATTAATAGACACTGAAGTTGCAGTGATAAAGAAGAGATTAACAACATAATTCTTGCCCTCAAATTGCTCAGCCAAGTGAGAGAAACTGACTAACAAATTATTACAAAGCTAACCTCATTTTTAAAATGACATTAACCAAATAAAGCAAAAACCAGAGGACACAACTGGGACCAAAGGGTCAAAAATCAGATTTAAGTTCATTATAACCAAGAAATTTGTAAATACATTATTAAATGCATAGCAGCTGTTCGCATATGGTATGCTCACAAAGAAGTGACATCCAGAAAAAGCATAGTGAAGTCATATTAAAGACCCCTTTTTCTTTACTTCTTAACAAAGAAGACAAAATAAGTTACAACCAACAAAACAGATTTTACACAAAATTGTCTTGTAGCTCCCAAATGATATTTATTACTTTTAATCAATATGGCTAACACAAGTGATTCAAACACAACACCACACTCAAGCTGAATAAACTTAGTTTAAAGTTGGAAAAACCCACAAAGATTACCATCTGCAATACCCTGCTTTTTCAAACCATGTAAATAGGAGCACACAGAGATTATATGATGCATTAGTTTACTAGGAATGCCATGAGAAAAAACCACAGAATGGGTAACTTCAACAACAGAAATTTTATTTCTCACAGTTCTGAAGGCTGCAAGTCCAAGATCAAGTTGTCAGCAGGTTTGGGTTCTCCTAAGGTCTCTCTCATTGGCTTGCAGATAGCCATCTTTTTCTGTATCTTCAAATGGTCTTTTCCCCATATAAGGATGTACCTGGTTTCTCTCTTTTCTTATAAGGCACCAGTTATATTGAATCAGGACCCTATCCTATGAGTTTATTTAACTTTACATGTCCTATCTCCAAGCACAATAACATTGGAGGTTAGCGTTTCAACACATGATTTCCCTAAAATTGTAACTATTCAGGATTAGTGTCATCAATGCTCTTTCCAATACACAAAACCTTGATAGAGGTGGATGTGGCAGCCATTTTTAACATACATCATCCCCTTAAATGGAAATGATCCTACCCACAGTTTGCCTCCTGGTCCCAGCCTTGTTTATGTTTTACAAAGCCCCTACCCTCTACCTTCTTAACCATGGCTTAATAGACAAGGAGTATACAGACACCTGAAACAAGTTTAGCTCATAATTTTTTGAGAAATTAAAATTGGGACTCAAGCTCCCAAATTGTTGCTTGAATTAATCTTGATGTGTAGGTAAGAGTTGGGACTGTCAGAGTGAAGTGGTCATCTTCTTCTATTTCAAGAAGAAACAGAAAACATTAATCTTCAGAGAGATAGGAATAAATGAGTAAAATAGTGAGAATAAACTGGGTAGCCACAGAGGAAATAAGCCAAAAAGAATAGAGCTCTGGTTCCTCACAACTTTCAAGGTCCTGAACTTAGTCCTGTGCCTCGCTCATGATAAGCACTCAATATGTTAGCTGATATATACTATGATAGCCTAAAATGTCAGTTCCATGAACATTGGGAATGTATTATTTTGTTCTAGATGCTTAGAACAAAGAAACTGCCTTGTTGCCTTAGGATGATTTTCTTTTGAAGCTTAAGATAAGTTCTGTTGATTGAAATCAACAAATCAAATCAAAGAACCTTGGCTAAGATTACATGGGTGAAGCCCAATTGTCCAGCCTGTGAGATCTAAGGTAATAATTCCGCATCTAGTTTCTCTAGCATTGAACCAAACATTGAACACCGAGACAGGGTAATCAATAAAGAAGTTCGGGAACTGAGCTAGTCTGAAGGCATTGACGTGACCACCATAATCCAATTCGTCTAGAATGGATGAGTGAAGAGAAAGGAAGATAGCTATTATATAAGAAGCTGTAGGGTGGCAGGCAGAGGTAGTGCTAGTTCAAGGTAAAGGGACAAAAGTGTTTGATATCTTGCAAACATACTATTATGAAACAACAACATGATTATGTCCATATGACAGAAAAATATATTTGAATACTAGCCAAATTTTTCCTCAAATACTTATTATCCCCCTTGGCTCTCCCCTACCTCCGCTGCAGCCAGCTAAGCTGTTCTGAACTCATGGCCTGTGAGATGGGATGTGACTGCAGAAAGCAGAAAAGGAGAGAAGGTAAAAAAGACAAAGAAGTCTATTCTTGGTTTTTGAGTATTAAACACAAAGATTCTCAGATAGGACTGGCTACAGAATCTGTGGGGCCCAGTACAAAATGAAAATGAGGCTCTTGAAAATTGTCCAAGACTGGGCGTGATGGCTCAAGCCTGTAATCCCAGCACTTTGGAAGGCCAAGATGAGAGGATTGCCTGAGCCCATGGGTTCGAGACCAGCCTGGGCAACATGGTAAGCCTTCATCTCTACAATAAATTTTTAAAAAGTAGCCAGGTGTGGTAGCACGCATCTGTAGTTCTGGCTACTTGGAAGGCTGAAGCAGAAGGATCGCCAGAGCCCAGTAGGTTGCCACTGGGGTGACCATGAGCATGCCACTGTACTCCAACCTGGATGACGGAGTGAGACTCCAACTCAAAAAAAAAAAAACAAGAAGGAAAATCATCTAAGAATGTCAAAATGGCAAGAGGAGAGCATTAAACCAAGCACTAGGCTCTTCTGAATGCAAGGCTCTGTGCAATTGCACAAACTCACGAAGCCAGCCCTGCTCTCACAAAGGAGTCATGGTATAAGCAAAAGACTTGGATGAAAATATAAACAAGAGCAATTCCCCCAAAAGAAGAGAGATTCCTGATTGGCAATGTGATAACAAGCAAGCAGAGAAGGAGGGGGTCCTGGAAAGGGAAGAATAGGAAGTTGGGGAAAGACCTGAAGGTGTAGAAAGTCCATGTTCACAGAGTGCCCTAAGCACTGTTTATAGCCTGAGCCTAGTCATCCTGACTAGTTGGCATCAAGGGAGGATGTCACTTCAAAAGCAGCCTGCACTTTGCCCAGTGACTGTCCAGCAGGAGTGATGACCATCTACATCATTCAATGCTACTTTGTTCCATCTAGCCATCTCAGATGGTGAAGCTGTCTCATAATATCACAGGACAATTATAAGTCATGAGAAAGAAGACATCAAGTATGATATTATAGGTAGATGTATTAGTCCATTTTGCATTGCCATAAAGAAATACCTGACGCTGGGTAATTTATAAAGAAAAGAGGTTTATTTGGGCCACAGTTCTGCAGAATGTACAAGAAGCATAGTACCAGCGTCTTCTTCTGGTAGGGTCTCGGGAAGCTTACAATCATGGTGGAAGGTAAAGAGGCAGCAGGTGTGTCACATGGTGAGAGCAAAAGCAATAGAGAGAGGGAGGTGACAGACTCTTAATCAATCAGTTTACCCAGCGAAGTAATAGAATGAGAACTCACTCATTATGATGAGAACAGCACCAAGCCATTCATAAGGGATCTGCCCCCATAACCCAAACACCTCCCAGAGGCCCCAACTCCAACACTGAGAATCACATTTCAGTGTAAGATTTGGGGGAACAAATAACCAAACTTTATCAGTAAAATAAAATAAAACTCCACAGTTCCCTGATTTGGTGGGACTGAAGGGAACTACTCACAATTCTCTCTCCATCAAGAAAGTAGTGAAGTCCACTCTCTTTACACCAGCAGGAAGCAAACAGAAATGGTTGTTGACTATTTTTACATCAAGTTTTCAAACTATCTGCAAACTCTGAGATGAGCCAAAATAAAAAACAAGATGTTGCAACGATGGTATTGCCCACTACTCAAAGAATCATCCTTGGCCTTTCATTGTGTGGAAGCTCCATTGAGCCCATCAT